CAGAGCTGGGAATCAAGAGGTCAGTTAAGTGTCATAGCGATGATAGGAGGCATTATGGGATGCGGTGACAGCCAGGAGGTTTAGTGCAGGGGAAGGAGACACTCTGGCTGTGTTGGACCTCCTCGGAGAGGGTGGTACGGACGCTTTGGGCTTACCTGTAACATTGTTTTCTAAAAGCCCAGACAGTGACTGTCGCCTCTCATCATTCTGCTGTTAAAACTGTAACTTCTGATTTAATCAAACTAACCCGCAGAGAGAAATGAAAATAGGTTGAACATCAGCGTTTGGTCTCTGCTGCTGCTGAATTATGACAAACTTCCTTGTTGTTATWAAAATGAAACAGTTGTTGTCCTCATAGATCATGTTTGTCTGAGAAAGCAGAATATGTTCATCGTTTCAGTCCCCCTCTGCGTGGCAGCTTGACTTGACTCAGCTCTGCCACATCGGCACGCAAAACAACAAGTTTAATCACGGCTCATCTTTACAAATGGCGATGAAATCCTGGCATTAAGTCTCAGCTGAAGCGCACTGTCTGCCCCGCACGCACGCATCTGATAATCGCTGGTAAAGTTCCACTTCAACGGCAACTTCAAAAGCAGGGTTTCATCTGCACCTAACATCTGTGTTAAGTATTCATCGGCTGCAGAGCGTTCCAAACTGCGCCGCGCAGCTCCCTCGGTGTGTGTGACACATTTGCAGCAGGAGCACAGAAACTCAGAGACATGAAACAAACATGGTGCACGAGGGAAAAGAGACATTTTTAGGGCCTTCTGGTTTACATCAGCGGCTGGATTTACTGTGGCTGTMAAACACAGGTGCCTTCAAAACTTAATGAGTTAACAATGGGTGTACTAAGCCCACTTACTTGCTAAGGATTTACTCATAATCTGATGTATTTTTAGATTAGATTAAGTTTTTTTTCAACTATACACATTCAAAAAACAACTCACAATGTAACCCTGCTCTGAGCCAACTCTGTATCTTTAACTCAGCGGGGTTTGTTTATTAGTTTGACACAGCAGATTTTCTACCAATGCTTGGCTAAAACGACTAATTTGTCAAATTATAATTATTAAGAAGCTGAATTAAAAACAACACAACCCAAAATTGGATTTATTAGATACAACTTGGACTAGCTGGCTGATGCTAACCTCTATTAGCGTCATCCCTTTGCCTCAGTTCTCCAAATGTTTCACTTTWAAAGCCCAATTCTGTGATTTTTTTCCTGTGTTTTCCTTGTGATGAGCAGCTTTTTGACACGTGTACTTGTTCTCACTTTAATTTCGCCCCTTAACAGAAAACGTTTCCCCGTTGCAAACCAGGTACTTCTCACTCGTGGTTCTTACATCGCATCAGATAAAATCTGAACTTTGTTGAAAATAAAGTCGACTCCAAAGTAAGTTCCACTGAGCTGAACAGAGAATTATAGATTAATTGTGAAACTAATTTCAAAATGATCTCCAGCCTCGTTTTGTCTTCATTTTTCTGAAATAAAAGATTTTTTTTTTATTTGAGCATTTGTACATAAAAAATCATTTCAGTTATCTGATGTGTTATTCATTAAGTTGGAATCCAAGTATTCCTGTGAAAACTGCGTGTGAATCCATGAATCACTTGCAAACAGAAAGTGTTAGTAATTAGTTTGGTGTTTTTTGTTGGGGTGCCAGTTTGGAAGGCATTGTTTGCCAAACTAAAAGAACCAACTGCTGCCAAAATCTGTAGKGTAACATGAAGACGTTAACTAGTTATCAGCCCGATAATCCCCCACTTCACACCGATGTCACCGCTCTGCTCTCCACAACCAACATGATCTTTTAGAACGTAATCGTATCTCTGCTGATTTAGAAAACATCTTTCAGTGATGACACTGGGATGTTATTTACTTTGCTTCCTGAAGACTCCATAAATCCACCCTCAGATCACGTGTGCCAAACATTACACCTAAATTATTTTCAATTATGACCCCTCACACCAGACATTTATCTTTTAACTTTTAAATGTGTTTATTTTGGATCATAAATTCACAATCTGAAATTGATTTGATGTGATTTGATTTTTTTTATTTAACAGGAAAAGATTATTAAAAATCAGGCCTGACTCAGCATAATTGCTGTTTTACAGCAGGTTCCTGTTCTGCAGCACATAAAACACTCAGAAATACAGCATCACAATCACATCATTATACACCATAGACACAGACAAACAAGCATACGAAATTTCAGGAAGGCAGCATTTGCAAAATAGGACGTCTAAATATGAGCGCAACAGAAAGTGTCCAGCAGATGGCAGACAAGATTCTTCTTAAAGGGCTGTAGTTTTGAAATGGACTTTATGTTTTGAGGAATGTCATTCCTTGCTTTAGTATAAACATAGAAGAAAGATCTCTGGCCGTAACAGTTTTTAAAAGTTGGTAATATCAGTTGTCCTTTTGTAACAGATCTAGTTGAATGACCACTTACAGAATTTGATTTGGGCAGCAACGCASAGAGAGTTCCATAACTGGCACCTTGGAAGATCTGAAAATATAAATTAATACCACTATACAAAACATAATTCTTAAATTAATTTAAAATCAAATTTATAATAGAAGTGGAAAAAAAGATCTCTTTTTTTTATAACTTTTTGGCAGGCCAGACTGAAGTCACCAGTGGGCCGGATGTGTCCTGCGAGCCGCCAGTTGAYTAGCCCTGATTTAAAGTGTTTTCTGCTTCCTAAAAATGCAACTCAGGTAAAATGCAAATTGACTCAACAAACGAGGAGGGAAGCATCACGTCCTGGTTTTAGGGTTTAAATCAGACGATTAGACGAGCCTTGGTTTTCGACAGGTAGTTTAGTCCTGCTGACTCAGAGGCAGACGGCGTGCTGTTATCTGTCACATCAGCTTCACTTCTGAGATGAACACAATCAGCAGCAGGATGAGGTGGACGAAAAGTTTGAGACACTCCTCTAAGAAAAACAAAGAAGGAGAAAATGATAATTGGAAGCTTCTGAAGTCATTAAACATGATTGATTTATGGTTCTGTTGAAGAATGTGTTACTGGGGCTTCGAAAGTTTAGAAACAAAAGTTTTCTTTCCAGGTAATTCCGTCAACAGATTTTATTATGATCAAACTTAATATATTTGCGCTTATAAAATAATTAGCAATTTAACAAACACAAGCAAGATTTTGTTTTTCTTTTCTGATTTTTATCACCCATTTTTTGGCAGTGTTTTATAATGATTTTGTTTTTGTATTTCCAGAGTATATCTTGAACCAAAGGACAGATTTCACTTAAACTCAGAGAATAATTATTGGACCTCAAAACATCAAAAGCTGATGCACTATTCAAATCAATTCAACATGACCACCACAGCTACATAACTGACGTTAGCAAACATACAAACTGTGACAAAAATTAATTTTACAGATACTGAGCTAATCTTTGTTAATAGCTGAGATTTATCTACAACATGAACTCTGAGCTCTAAAATATTGCAAAAGATTTGTTTTTAGAACTTTYCCAATAACTTTCATGGTCAAGTCTGCCTGTTYGAAATATATCTCATGAACTATTTGATGGATMTACTGAAATATTTTGAAAGTAATCAACAAGTGACCATCTACCACCAATTAAATATTGGCCTAATTAAAGATGGCCGCCAAACGTGTCCATCGGCTATTGAACTAAAAGTGGCTATGAGTCATTTACAGCACATACAGTACYTCAAGCTGTAAACATTTAACTGCTGTCACCAGCACTGTTTGTCTGTTAGCAAAATATCTCCACAATCACGGACAAATTTCAATAAAACCCACTGAATGTACACTTTCAGCTGATTAACTTTTGAAGTCAATCAAACTCAAAATGGTCACCACAACTAATTCAACTTAGTAAATGTAAAAAAATACCAGAAAATGTTACAAGTATTGATACAAAATGCCTCAAAACCAGTACCATTATCAATACTGGGATACTTTTATCAATACTCCATTGAATGTGTTGCAGCAGGGGTGTCAAACTGAGAGTTATGGGGTCCTCAAAGGGCCAGATGTGATTAACTTGATTAATTTAAGTTTAACTTCAACTGAACATGAAACTTCACATCAAAGTACTACATATACTACAGACTAAATGTGAAATAAATAATACAGAAACACTATGAAAAATAAGAGTTTCACAAACTAAGTTGTGGTGAGTTGCCGCCATCTTGAATTCTTAACCTCTCCCACTTTCGTACAGGGACTTCCCACTAGATAGGTAGATGGTTCAAACTTACAAAATATAAGTGGGAAATTACCACATCCCAGTACGAGTGCAACAAAAGTAGCTGACGAAAATACAGCAAAATGAAGATTTTACACGGAGAATTTCCCCAGCTAKTGTTGAACCRTGCYCAGCTCKACCTAGTGGTGGGATGTTGTCATTTCACAGGTAAAATAATCAACATGCATTATGGGAGATGTGGTTTATGGTCAATGCTGGCTTTAAAGCAGCTTATTTAAAGACATTAATATATCTTTGAGACTCTCGCAGGCCACATAAAATCCTGTGGCAGGCCACATTTAGCCCATGYGCCTTGAGTTTGATACATGTAAGTTAAAGTTCACATTTCAAGTGAAAAGATTGTCAGTTCCCTCAGTCAGTTTTACTGATATTGAGTTTTTAACAATATGTGATAGTGAGTGAAAACTGATGGAAACATGAAGTCTGAGAACTAACYAGATTGCAACAAATCTGTTTGTTTTCTGCCAAACTAAAATGAAGTCACATTCATTGACTGTTGATGCAGATCTGATGTCGTTATTACGATCAAACTTTAATACCAGAGAACCAACCAGGAAGAGATGACGAAAGCAATAAAAACAGAAAGTGAAAGGCAGCGACAACATGAGACAGTGTGGCACAGATCTGTAATCAGGTTAGAGTTTCATCAGAAAAGTGKCATCTTGACACTTGATTGACACTGATATTCACATGTGATCCCTTCTGATTTTTTCTGTCGCTCCCTTTTTCCACAGGGAGCAGTTCTGGAGTCAGAAGTGACAACTAATCCCCATCAAAGCTGAAAACTCGGATGAAAGTGTTGGCTCTATAAAAAGTGAGAGCGCACTCCTACYCGCCGCCATCCGCCTCAGCTTCCGGAGAGTTTACGGACGAAATGTTGACGAGAGCCTGAGAGGACACCGGGTTTGGACTTTGAAGGAGACTTGTTGGGAAGAATAGAGCAGATGGTTTGGCACCACCTCCTTCCCTGTCAGCCCCACTTCAAAAAGTAAGCATATTTCTGTTTTTTTTTTTTTATTTTATTTCCACTAATAGAAATGCACTAGAATGTATTGTGTTTCATAAAAGTAAAAAATCACCGGCAGGCTCACTGTCAGTGACAKAAATTTATTTTTAAAAAATGAGATGGAAGACGTCAGAATCCCAGTGAGGACAGCAGTGTTTTTGGATGATTGTGATTTGWATGTGAGCTTTTCATGAAAAGACCAAAGAAGTCATGAAACTGTTTGTTTTAGAGGACAAAAAGAGATTGATTAGGGTCAGTTTAAGTAAGCTCTCTGTGAAGGGGATCCAAAGTCATCCTAACAAAAAATATATGTATTTGCAGCAACCAAGCAGGCAGCAGGAAGAGGAGGGGAGCGAACAATAAAGAGATTGAGATTCTCTCAAGTGGGGTTCTGTGATAATGTTATAAACAATTAATATCTTATCTGTCATAGATGGATTTTTAAAAATAACTCACTTTGAAAAAATGAAGTTCACTTCTGACAAGAAGAATAAGCTAACAAATATTCTGAGCAAACCCAAGAATGAAACATCACAATTTACAGTTTRATGATTTTTGTTACAGTTTGAGTTGGAGTACTAAAGTATTTGCAGTCATTTTGTTAATATTTTTGCTGTGTTTTATGTTTCTTAGCCTTCAGTGTTTTTTTTATTTGTTTAGCCTAGTATTTTTAGTTTTTATGTTCATGTTTGTTGTGTTTTTTTCATTCATACACACCTGTCACGCCTGTTGGCAATTTGCAATCGTTTGAACTGTCTCCACTCAGTAATCACCACGCCCAGCACATAAAACCTCAGTTTCACATGACATGGTTATTCTGACAAAATGGTTATGATATTTTGATGGAATTGCTTCAGGATTTTCCTAAAGTGCTACTGCAAGCTGCTGCTACCACTCTTTGCTTCTGCWTGAACTTATTAGAAAGTGTGTGCGGTAAAACTGGTAGCAGAGTAAAGGATTGGAAAGTTGTTTTATATGAACTATACATGTCTAGAAACTYGTGTTTTAGGACTGCAGCAATCCACTTTGATTTTGTTTTTTCTGAAGTCCTTTTCAGACCAGTCTTTGGCTCATCAGGCCTGTCAAAAATAAACAGAAGTCAATAAAAGATCTGTCAACAACTAGTCAAATAATAATCATTAATCGTCTAGATACAAATTATTTAAGCTTAGATATGAAAGTTTTCACAAGAATAAAATGTCAGAATTGAAACAAAAATAATTGGTTCTGTAGGATCTGCCTACATCAGAGTCATTTTTATAAATTAAAGTGTTTGAAAATGACTTGAAATTGATTCTGACATTTTCTGTCTAAATAAAATTGTTGAACATTTAAAGCAACAGCACAACTCAAATTAAAACACAGTGTTTACTCTTGTGCTTTCTTAAATGGTCGTCGTAATTAAATGCAACTTAAATAAARCTATTAACAAAACTAACACTTATCAACAGTTAAATAGCGAGCAATAAAGCTCCATTATCCCCTTTATTTTTTCACTTTCMTTCTGGTTTTGGTAGGCAGGAGGCCAAAAAAGCATTCAAATACTTCTCTAAAAGTCACGTCCATGGCTCACTTTTTAAATTACATTTTAASTTTTCTGTATTATCAGCCTCTAAACCAGGAAAAAAGTATTTTTTTCAGCTTTAAGCCTAAARTTTTACCAGATTTTAGTCTGCAGATCGACTGTAGCCACAGAGGGGTGAAGTTTAGCTCAGGAAATCGGAGTGAAATTAACTCACAGCAACTTATTCTTGAGTCCAGAACCCTCCCACAGCAGAAAACCCACACATCCGGAGAAGTCATGTCCGAGCGTACACGGGATCTTTTTCTGGGCCTCGGAGGCGTTGTGTGTTTTTATTTCTCAAGTGATTTCTCCGTACAGCGAGTGCTAAACTCATACAGTTTCAAATGCAACAACAAAATATAGTATTTACAGTAAAAAGGCCTGCTTAAATACAACACTGACTTTAAAACACAACCAGAAGTCAAGCTAACATGAGGTTGCTCAAAAGGTTTAACAGTGTAAGTATTTGCAGATTGGAGGTTGATGAGAATGTTTTTTAGTCCATTTCTMTTTGTGTGTGCATTTGTGTGTCTGTTTGCAAAGTTTCCCACAAACCGCTGGATGGATTTTAATGAAACATTTCAAAAAATAATGACTAAGTGTACATCTACAACTGATTAATGTTTGGTGTCAGCATGATTCAAGTGGGGTGATTTAGCAAAATTAACTTTTTTGAGCTTTATATCATTTTTGAATTTTCACCATCTASATCAGAATTCTGGCATTAGGAAGTTACTGCTGATGTTTATTTCATTAAGGAATGTTAGAGCTCTGATTTTTTTTAAATTGTATTGTCATTATATTCTCGAAAAGACAAAAATATCAGAGCGTACATAAACTGAATGACTTTTGCCAACATTTCTTTATTTTCTAATGCACTCAAAAGATATGCAAGTGTGTGTTTTTCTTGGCCAAAAAGCTGAAGCTGCACAAACACAAAAAATAAAAATAAAGAGAAACTGCAGCAATATAAAAAAAGATAATATAAGTTCCAGAGGAAAGTTGGAAACATAAATTTTAATTTCATTATGTCATTTATTGGCTTTATAAATGTGACAGTGAACATGAAGGGACCACACAACAGAAAAGAACAGTGAAGCTAAACAAAACCTGGTTTTAGTCAGCTGTTGTAGCAAACCTACAGGTCTCATAATTAAGTGAAGAAATCATATTAAAAAGGACTAAGGGTAAAAATAGGTAAATTGAAATCAGCTTCCTGTTTTTAACAACTACAGTCTGAAATTCAGGGTGTCATCTTTTAGGTTGCCGGATCTAATCCTGACCTTGCTGGGTGGAGTTTGCCAGTTCTGTCTGTGCACGTGTTTTTATTTATTTATTTATTTATTTATTTATTTATTTATTTATTTATTTATTTATTTACTGTATTTATTTGTGTACTCTGGTTTCCTCCCACAAACCAAAATCCTGCACGTTAGGGTAATGGCGATCTCCACTCATGACGTCACATCTGCCGCTCACACAAATGATCAGACAGTCTMCGTGAATTAAACAGAGATTCAGTGTTAATAATGGAAAAAAGACGTTTCCAGAGTAAATTTCGACACATCCGACTTCAGGAATCACAGGAAACTTCAGCTGAAAGGTTGGCTGGAGGGTCAAAATCTGAAACAGACTTGGAAAAAGTGTGAATTTGTTGAAACAGTTGGTGTTTTTATCAGTGTCTTATGGAAACTGAACGGTGAWGTTTAAATTTCTYTATGTATAATGTTATCARCATATGTGTGACTGACTGCAGCTGTTTCAGGCAAGCATGMATGCRATGAGTGAAGCTYGCCTTACAGCAAAAACAATAAGGTGTACTGTACCTGTTTAGTGACAGAAAGTGCAGGGATAGGATCCGGGTGGTCCACTGTTGGTCTTTTACCTCCAATAAAATGAACAGGACTGACGTTAAGTCCATGGTTGGACATTTTCCGGTCAATTTCAGCTCATACCATTGTTGGAACCCAGCTGTTTGCTAGCATCTTAGCTTGGGTGAAGTGACTATAAATACTCTGTCCACGTGGGGATGATAGCTGTATCCTAGTCACTGTTAGCACAATGTTTTGTGGTTGTGTCACGTACACGACTGTAGCCTGAGTGGAGATCACCACTGGTAACTGTGTCCCTAGATGTGAGTGACAGTGTGAATGGTTATTTGTGTCATTTGTCTCCATGTGTCCCTGTGATGGACTTGCAACCTGTCCAGGGTGTACCTCCGCCTCTCGCACACTGACTGCTGGATATGGGCACCAGTGACCCCCTTGACCCTGAAAAGAAGAAGTGGATAAASATAATGGATGGAGAGACTTAATTAAATTCATCCTGTGATGATCAGGTTGTGTCTGTATTGATGTTAGGGTTAGAGTTGTTTTGGTATTGGGGCATTTAAAAAAAAACGCTAATATAATCAAAATCTGTTTCAAAGAAATACATTGTACTGGAAGATAACAAGAACGCATGGTGAAACCAGCATGTAATGGAAAATAAAATGGAGTTATTCATCTCCTGTCTGGGTTTATATGAATTAGGTGGATGAGGATTTTAATTTTAAAAGGCTGTTCTGACTAAAAGCCAATTACAGCTAACACACGACTGTTCAGAGTGTGAAAAACCAGTCAGACTGAAACATTGTTGATTTCACCTCCACATCAGCAGACAGGTGTATTGTACGTGTCTGAGCCTCACTGTGTTTTAAATATGTTCCCCATAGAGATCGCTGCACTTTAATGTAATGCAGCAAGTAATTTGAGCTCAACTTATACTGCATTCATATACCTTCAACTACTTGAGCCTTTCTTTTTTCTCAAAAGAGTTACTTAAAGCCCATCTAAGCTGTAACACGGTGAACAYAAGATTGTGCAACAAAATTCAAACTATTCGAAGAAAGAAGCAGCCAAAGCTATTTTAAATCACACATACTCAGTTTAAGATGTATTTATATCATTTCAACATTTCTAGACTTCTTAAAGCACATTTGCTGTAGATTAATGCAGTTTGACAAACTTAATGATGCCTAATTGTTTGATGCTAGAACTGCTGAAATTTTCTAAATAAAAGAATTCCGATAATGATCATTTTGCTTTGCCAATCTAATCTTGATGCTAACTAACTAACTAACTAACTAACTAACTAACTAACTAACTAACTAACTAACTAACTAACTAACTAACTAACTAACT